TATATATATATATATATATATATATATATATATATATATATATATATTTAATTGAGTGTCATCTCACTAAAAGAGAAATCATGTCATCTGTCACTAAATCGCTGTCAGCTGCCAGTAATTCCATGGCAGATACCAGTAAAAATAAATAAATAAATAAAAAATAATAATAATCCCCCCAAAAATGTTGGCAGGTAAAATAATAATAATAATAATATTAATAAATTTAAAAATCAAGAGAAGCTTTGTCATCTGTTATCAAAAGAGAAGCCATGTTATCTGTCACTAAATCTCAGGCAACTGCCAGTAAATTCCCTGGCAGATGCCAGTAAACTAGCAGCAGGTGCCTTGGCATGTGCCACGGCAGGTGCCACGGCAGGTGCCACAGCGGCGTGGCAGGTGCCACAGCAGGTGCCACAGTGGCATGGCAGCTGCCAGTAAAGGTGCCAGTAAATCCCTAGCAAGTGCCAGTAAACTAGCGGCAGGTGTCACAGCAGCATGGCAGCTGCCAGTAAATCCCTGGCAGCCTTCAGTGAAGCCAAATGCAGTGTGGCATCTGACACCTGAAGTGTCAGTATGCCTGCCGCTGCCGCAATTTGAGCCTGCTGTTTCTCCAGCAGGGCCGAGCGCAATTCCGTTTTATTGAATGAATCCCTACAAATGAAAGATTCACTTCTCACCTTTTTTTTTTTATAGGAAAAATGATAAATAGCTTAATCTAAGTATAATTTATGTCATTACACGTGTATGTAAAGGTAAGTAATATTAAATCTGGACTGTTGTTGAACTCTAAATGTTATCTGTTCTGATCACAGAATCTAAACTATTTTCTTTAAAATAAGAAACTGAATTACGTCCATTTAGGAATTCCTTAACTCTGTAGTTAAGGCTGGAGTCAACACTTATTTCCAAAAGTGGGAGGACCGTAGAGTGACCTATAAGAGTGGAGGAAGGAGTACGCAGGTCGACTACATTCTGTGTAGAAGAGGAAACCTGAGGGAGATTGGAGAATGTAAGATTGTGGCAGAGGAGAGCGTGTCCAGACAACATCGAATGGTTGTGTGTAGAATGACTGTTGTTGTGAAGAAGAGAAAATGGTAAAATCAGAGAAGAATACCAAATGGTGGAAGATGAGGAAAAAATCATTTTGTGAGAAATTCAGAGAGGAGCTGTTAAAGGCTCTGGGTGCTAAGAACAAGCTTCCAGATGACTGGTCAACCACAGCAACAGTAGAGATATTAGACATTAGAACATTAGAAAGACAAGTAGGAAGGTACTTGATGTGTCACCTGGACAGAGAATGGATGATAAGGAAACCTGGTGGTGGAATAGTGAAGTGCAGGATACCGTTCAAAGAAAGAGGTTAGCCAAGAAGAAATGTGACGGTGAGAGGACTGAAGAGAGGAGACAGGAAAATAAGGAGATGGGACATAGAGCAAAGAGGGAGGTAGCTAAGGCAAAACGGAAGGTGTATGATGATCTGAATGGGAGGCTGAACACTAAAGAGGGTGAGAAGGACTTGTACCGATTGGCAAGATAAGGGGATCAGGCTGGAAAGGATGTGCAGCAGGTTAGGCTTGTTAAAGATAGGAATGGTTATGTTCTGACAAGTGAGGAGAGTGTGATGGGAAGATGGAAGAAGTTTAAGGAGCTAATAAATGAAGAGAATGAAAGAGAAAGAAGAGTAGAGATCAAAGACACTGTGGACCAGGAAGTGGGAAAGATTAGTGTGAAGTTCAGAAAGCTCTGACAATAATTCAAAACAGGAAGGTTTGGAAATGTCTTGGAGAGATGGCAGTGAGGTTTTTGACTCAACTATTCAATGGCATATTTGAAGGTTAGAAAATGCCCGAGGAATGGAGAAGTGTGCTGGTGCTCATTTTTAAGAACAACTGTAATGCACAGAGCTGTAGCAACTACAGAGGAATTAAGTTGATGAGTCACACAATGAAGATCTGGGAGAGAGTTGTGGAAGCAAGACTTGGACAAGAAGTGACTATGTGTGAGCAGCAGTATGGTTTCATGCCAAGAAAGAGCACCACAGATGCCATTTTTGCTTTGAGAATGCTGCTGGAGAAGTACAGAGAGGGTCAGAAAGAACTCCATTGTCTCTTTTTGGATTTAGATAAAGCATATGACAGGGTGCTGAAGGAGGAGAGTGGTATTGTTTGAGAAAATCTGGAGTAGCAGAGAAGTATGTTAGACTGGTACAGGACATGTATGAGGACAGCAGGACAGTGGCGAGATGTGCTGTAGGAGTGACGGATAGCTTCAAGGGGGAGGTGGGAGTGCATCAAGAATCGGCTCTGAGCCTCTTCTTGTTTGATCTGGTGACGGACCGACTAACGGATGAGGTCAGGCAGGAATCACTGTGAACTATGATGTTTGCAGATGACGTTGTGATCTGTGGTGAGAACAGGGAACAGGTGGAAGAGAACTTGAAGAGGTGGAGGTATGCACTTAAAAGAAGAGGAATAAAAGTCAGTCGTAGTAAGACAGAGTACATGTGTGTAAATGAAATGGAGGCCGGTGGAACAGTGAGGCTACAAGGAGCAGAGGTCACAAAGGTGCAAGACTTCAAGTACTTGGGGTCCACTGTCCAGAAAAATGGGGAGTGTGGTAAAGAAGTGGAGAAGAGAGTCCAGGCAGGATGGAGTGGATAGAAAAAAGTTTCAGGAGTGATTTGTGACAAAAAGGTGGTAGTTGGAGTGAGGACAGAGGATGCAGAGGACAGAGTGAGATGGAGGAGGATGACTCGCTGTGGCAACCACTGAAGAGCCACTTCCTTAACTTTTATTGCTAAAGTTATCAAATGGTTGTTTAACAAGAAACAACAGAACAGATAATAAAATTTCTGAAATTCTGTTCTGGCTTTTAACTTCAGTGTGCCACCACAGGATTTTCAGTAGCCCCCACATGGCCACCCCATTAATGCATTTCTGAAGGCACCACTGCTATACATTCGGTTCAGCCAGAACTACAGCTGCTCCACTGAGGAGTTGCTGGCTGAGGCTGTTAAAAATATATAACCATCTTTACAACTGTTCAAGCAAAACAGAAAGATAGTCAAATAAAGAGTCTCTCGTAATGAGAGTCAGAACTCTTGAAAGGATTTAACACAATTATGTGTTAAATATTTTTTCTAATCAGCTGTGGCCCAAACAACAGATTTTCTGATGTAAATTGTAAAAATGTTTCACATTCATACAGTAACGCTGTGATCACAACCGCTGTTTAGACTAGACCGCAAGACTTTGAACTTGCTGTTGTTCCCATGCCAGGTTACTAGGTGGCGCTGTGAGGCGGTGCAGCACATATACAGTACGTTTCGTTTCCGAGACTGACAGATTTAAAAGCAAGCAGCACAAACGGTCCTCTGCTGTCTACTGCTGCTCATTCAGGTGGTAAGAGATGATCAGGAGGGAGGTGGGAAGAGAGCTTGCTCACATGCAAAAATATTTTTAATAACTGTTTTTGTCCATAATCTTTGTTTGTAATTGTTTAAAGCAAAAGGTAAATCAAAACTAATTTGAATATAGGATAGCTGTACTCACAATCATTCATTTATGTTTTTATTTTTTAAAATAAATCATAGAAAAGCTGAAGTTTATTTGACCAAACAGCAGAACTTGTCTTGTTTTTAGGACAACAGAGTCCACATTGGTCCAAAGATGGAGATCCGGGTTGTGACTCTCGGGCTCGACGGAGCAGGAAAAACCACCATCTTGTTCAAGCTCAAACAAGACGAGTTCATGCAGCCCATCCCCACCATCGGTAAAGACTGTTCGAAGGACTAACAGCTTCACACGTCCCTCTGAACACTAATTCAATATCTGTATCTTTTTCCTTCATCAGGTTTCAATGTGGAGACAGTCGAATATAAGAATTTAAAATTCACTATCTGGGATGTTGGAGGAAAACACAAGCTCAGACCCCTCTGGAAACACTATTATCTGAACACTCAAGGTAGGTTTTGTTCTTCCAGTGCTCCAGTAACAATGTCCAACATGTTGTCCAGCCTTTGTAGCATTACAACATCCTCTCTGCTGACAGGTGATTCAGATCCGCAAAGCTCATTGCAGATTAACAGACACTTTATGAGGCTGTTGCTTTATGAAAAGTGAAATGTTGACATTCAGTTCAGTGCCTGTGCTGCATTTTTATCTAGCTCAGAAAGTGTAGCAAGTTGCAAGTACCGTAAAACATAAAGCTGCAGGAGGCGATGAATGGCCCTCCGCTCCGGACCATGTCGTTTTAAACATTTAAACACTGCCACATCTACACAAAGACATGTCCTACATCTGGCAGGAGAGAACAGATGTGGCTGTAAAATGGGGCCAGCACTCATGAGTCCAACATTAAGGACCATCATCACCCTGTCACTTTGTTCAAAATTAGACTTCCCTGATTTCTGTGTAAATAACAATTTCAGAAGATCCCCCCCCCCCCCCCCCCCCCATCATGGACCAAAGAGGGGGACTATGAAATACTCTCTGTCCACGTGTCCATATGTCTGTACATATTCTGAGCTTGATAACTTGGGAAGTAAATAGAACCTGACCAATACATGTATATTGGTATTTTAGGCCAATATGTGCCTTTGGGAACAAAACTATCAGTGAAAACTGTCCCATTATGTGCCGATATAAACACTTTTAATTTTCACCCCTAAAAAGCTGTAAATGAGCCATGTCCTTACTTGCAAATGGCGTAATTGTACAATGTATCCAGCAAAGGGAGCTTGTGAACTATTCAAGTTCATTTAACTTTTTTAACATTTAACTTTCACTTTCAGCCCAGCTGAAGAGCAATAGTGTGTAGTGTATGTAGTGTGTTTTGCTGCACAGACCATGGTTAGTTTATTGTAACTGATCTGTAAAACAAAAGAAAATCACCCATAATAAAATTCACTTCAATCCTCCAGCCAGCTTGTCATTAGCTACATGCCTCTGCAAGCTAATGTTTAGTGTAGGCTGCTGCCTTGTAAAACCTTAACAAGAACAATAAATCTAATGTAGCAGTAAATATATATTGATGTTAGTAACATTATCTTTGTCATCCTCAATGAAATGCACTGACTGAAATCTTTACTTCTCTGCAAAGAAAAATAAACTGCTGCTGCGGTCATTACTAATTAGACCTTCACCATACGTTTAAACAATGAACAGGAAAGGTGTTGCTTTGTTTAATTTATATTTTTGTAACACACTTGAAAACTTCATGGTGACTAGTGGAGGATAGAAAATGTGAAAATCAGGTTAGGAAGACTGTTTCAAGGCTTGAAGTGTTAAAACAGGTTTAAAAAGGGGTGTTGACTTGGATTATGTTGGTTATCGGTTACCCAGTCGTATCAGTACTGGTACAACAAAATGTCCATATCAGTCAAGCTCTAGAAATAAGTGAGGTACTGACTTCCATTTTGGTGTGTGGCTACAGCTAGGTGAAAAAAGGAATTGTGTAGCCATGTCAAAGTCCAAGATGGCACCTACCATACCCCCCCCCCCCCCCCCACACACACACACACACACACACATAAAACCGTCCACCTCAATCATTTTATATTCCTTAAAAGTATAATTGCCTCAAATGATTGGATGACTGAAGATTAACCTATAGAGGCCAAGGCCACCATTGGCCACCCCCTGGCTCCACCATTGCACCTGGTGTTGGATAAAATTGCTTCCTGCACTCACCAGAATCTGTGACTGCTCTGCCTTGGACAAGGAAAAAAATTTAAAAACCTCCCTCTCCTTGGCGTAGTGCTTGTTTGAAAAGTGATGTCTATCTTCTGAGCAAGTGTTCTGTGTAATGTAATGATTGCAGGTTTGCACAATATGCCATAAAAATCCAGTAATTTTGATGTTTCCGTCTGAGCCATACTGTTTTCACTTCTTCCCTGTGCTGTGTTGTGCTGTGTGCAGCGGTGGTGTTTGTGGTCGACAGCTGCCACAGGGACAGACTCATGGAGGCACACAGCGAGTTGGCCAAACTCCTGACGGAGAAGGAGCTGCGAGATGCTTTGCTGCTAATCTTTGCAAACAAGCAGGTCTGTGGAGAAATGGCTGAAACGTGCAAAATCGAATCTTGCCTTTGCTCAGGCGTTCACTGACGCTGCATGCTGCTGTGCAGGATGTTCCCGGCGCCGTGTCCGTGGAGGAGATGACGGAGCTGCTGAGCCTGCACAAGCTGTGCTGCGGGAGGAGCTGGCACATTCAGGGCTGCGACGCTCGGAGCGGGATGGGTCTCCACGAGGGGCTGGACTGGCTCTCCAGACAGCTGGTGGCTGCTGGGGTCCTGGATGTAGCCTGAAGATTGCACTTACCCCCTCTGCACATACTGACCCCCCACCCTAAAGCCCAGCCTCTGAGCTCAGCTCAGCAGCTGTCTAAAACCTTAAAGGATGCAGTTTAAAGTTTGACTCTCATCTTTCTTTCTTTGTGCATCACTGTGGTCAAAGAGAAGGGAGATGTAAATACTTCCTGTGATTACATCAAACCGTTAATTATCTTTAAATGTGTCCGGTCGACACAATCAAATAAAGTCAGACTGGCCTCATCTAAAAATACAAACTCACAAAAAGTCATGTGGTTACTTATCATCGCCAAAGGATTCTTTGTAAATTTTTATTTTGTTGCCTTGAAAGTTGAATTTATTGAGATTTTTAATTTGATGGTTAAAAAAAAGTTACAAAATTCAGTTGGGCCAAAAATTTGCAGAAAAATAATTGTCATAAAGCACAAACATGAAGAACAGTGTTTATGTTTAGTCCCTACCATGAAGTCTCTGTGTCCACTCCTTCAGTTCCAGCTTCAGGTCTGTCTCCAGGACCCATGTCCATCTAACGTGGACTCTTTGTCCCCTCATGTCCAAACGTCTGCAGATCCTTCAGTTTTGGACGGTTCTGCTCGTCTTTAAATCAGACCTGAGATTCTCAGTTGGCCTGTGGTCTGGACCTTCACCTGGTTCTCCTTACCCCAGTGGAGCGGTCTTTACGGTGTGTTCAGGGACATCATCCTGCTGGAAGCTGGACCTCCGTCCCAGTCTCAGATCCCCGAAGACTCCAGTTCCTCTGGAGAACTTCTCTGTATTTGAACTCCCATCTTTTCTTTGACTCTGACCAGCTTCCAGTCCTGCTGATGAACCCCCCCACAGCGTGATGCTGCCACCGCCATGCTTCACTGTGGGGATGGAGTTCTCAGCTTTATGACAGGCGGTAGGTTTCTCTTGATGTTTGGGACCAGATCCCAACCAGTCCAGGTGTTTTTCTTTAATCAGTGTCTTTTTTTTTCTGTCCACTCCTCCATGAAGTCCAGCTCTGAGCAGCTTCTAGTCCTGTGGTCAGGTCCTGACCTCTCCCAGCTCCAACACCTTTGACCTGCTGGTTTCTCTGGTTACCTGCTTGGTGAGGTTTGGTGGACGAGCCTCTCAGCAGGTTTGCTGTAGCAGCTTCATCTTTGTTTCCTAACGATGGCCTTAATGAAGCTCTGAGGGGCGTTTCAGAACTGACCTGTGTGGAGAGTTCCTTGGTCTTCATGATGCCTCCTGCTTGGCGGCAGCCTGCAGTGCTTGGAGGTGTTGATTCTGGGGGCTCTCAGAAGAGGTGGATCTATAAACTGGAGCTGGTTAAACTCGTTCTGTGGCTTCAGGAGGAGATGGTTCAGACCACATGGCTGAAGACTTATGCACACACCACTCTTCACTTTTATACATTTTAAATGTTTGAAAACGAGCTATCTGCATTTGACTTGTATATGAATTATTTTAGTAGAATTGTTGCTTTAAATTGAATTAAAAATGAAATTCCAGGTTGTAAGGTCATCACGTTCTTCAGACACCTCCTCTCATTCATTTAATCCTAAATGCTCCTTTAGTGTCCGACGGTGTGGATTGTAATTTCTCTCAGTAGTCTGAACTCGATCCACAGTGCTCCATGTTGTATCTTATATTTTGGTTGGATTCAGGAAGCTTCAGAAGTTCCTGAGCAAAGTTGAGGTTAGAATGAATCCTTCAGGCGTTGCCTCGTCTTCTAATGTAAGCTGCAGCTGATGCTTCTCTAAATTTTCTGTGCTTGTTTTGTTTTTAGGTGTGTGAACTTATTTAATAATCCCTGCTGGGCCTAAAGGAGGTGCACTGTCGGCATTTTGCTTTGACCGGAGCGTAGTCTGTTACAGAGTGATAGTTTACAGACGGGTACGTGACATTTCTGTGATTCTAGGCTGAACCGAGGTTGTTTTTAACGTCTGCTTTCTGCCTCCGTTTTGTGGAGCGTCTTGCATGCAGAATTCATAGAGCGCACTTCATCTGCCGATTCATCAAGTTTGCATCTGGGAGCAAACAAAACGCAATGTTACCGGAGTCATGTGAAAGTACTTTGATGTATCTGGAGTGCGTCCCCGTGGCACAGCTTTAACCTTCAGTGACGTAATGTGAAACTTCTGGACATTAAACCCAACAGTCTGAGGATCCATCGTTTGAGTTCGACTTTTATTCATTGCTATGTAATGTATACTATTTGTATCTATGTATAAAAAAACTACAAATAAAACTGCATGTGTGAAAACTGGTTGGTTTTCTGAGTCTAAGCACAGCACGCTAAACTTTTGTTACCTTTGTGGACTTGATGACAGCTTTTGTAATAGATGGACGTCTGATGTGAAGGTGTAAAATAAACGATTTGACATCACCTGTTTGGATGGTTTCTTCTGTTTGCAGCTTCAGACCAGAGGGAAACTCCTACACCACAATTTATTCGCTTTAACTAAGACCTGGTTGTCTCTGTGTGTCCCTGTGATGGACTGGAAACCTGTCATCACTCTCGCATATGGTGATTTCTGGACATGGACACCAGTGACCCGAAAAGAAAGAAGCGCAGAAAGATGATGGATGTCCTTTATGAGCTCACTTGGTTTTAACTTTTTAAGTTTTTATTTTGAACCTTTTTTTTTTTTTGGTAAAGTGCTGTGATTGTTACCATGGTTTCCTGCTTCAGCGCTGAACCTTCTTAAGGTTCCTAAGACCCGGTTTAAAACTCGGGGTGACCTGTCCTTTCAGGCCGTAGCCCCCCGCCTGTGGAATGCCTTGCCCCTGTCTCTCCGTGTGAACGACTCTGTTGATTCTTTTAAAACGCAGCTTAAGACATTTTTATTTCGTCAAGCTTTTAGTTAAATGTTTTACTGTTTTTTCCAGCTGTTTTTACTGTTTTTATTAATGAGTTGTTATTATTTTATTTCATTTTAAGCTTTTATTTTTTATTGTTGTACAGCACTTTGTGATTGTATCTATGATAAGTGCTATATAAATAAAGTTTACTTACTTACTTACTTACTGCTTTTATTTTTTTGCATCCCAAATACTTGTTGTTTTTAACTCGTCAATTATCTTTACCTGCTCCTTCCTTTTCGTAAGTCCATCACCATCAGGGATGCAGAGACTACCAACCATTCACTCTCTCTCGCACCTAGGGACAATTTAGAGTTACCCATCAGTCTAACACACGTTTTTGGTCTGTGGGAGGAAACTCACATGCATGGAGAGAACATGCAAACTCCACCCAGAAAGGCCCCAGACCTGGATTTGATCCAGCGACTTCGCTGACAGTCAACTGAGCCACCGTGCCGTTTTTAACTCGTACTTTTGAAATTTATAACGTCACAAAATGTTACCTGTTGAAATACACTGAAATATATTTGAAAACTTAAAACATCTGCTTCAGGATCCACATCTTCATTTTCTGTTCCTTAAGCTACTGTTTAGTTCATTTCAGCTTTAAGATACGGTTTTGCTAATTTTAGTTTTTTGACATTTTCCGTGATAGTTTTCGTCTTTAGCATTTGGCAAATTGCAAAACTGTTGCCAATTTTAACTTTTGGCTACAGTTTTACCTCCTTCCAGTGAGATGAGACGTGCCTGAAACCTTCTAAAGGGAGGAGTCCAGGTCTCATAAGCAGATGAACCACCTCAACTGACTTCTTCCAATGGGGAGGAGCAGCAGCAGCTGTACTCTGAGCTCCCGCTAGATCAGGGGTGTCAAACACTTACACAAGGGGGCCAAAATGAAACCCTTTTTCAAACTAAGGGACAATTTCAGAAACCACATTAACTCAAGTCAGATACCCAACATCTTTTCTTTGTCACAGTTACAACAAGAGTTTGATTGGTCTCATTTGATGTTCTCTGTTGTGCTTTCAACATCATAATCAAAGATGACTGAAAAAAAATTCAAGAGATAGAAGTATATTACATTTCACTTGTCGTCTTGGGGGCCAGATCTCAACGAGGGCCACATTTGGCCACTGGGCCTTGAGTTTGACACATATGGTAGATGATGGGAGCTCCTCCCTCTCTTTAAGGCTGAGCCTCCCTCATCCTACAAAGGAAGCTCTTTCAATTCAGTTCAAAAATACTTTATTAATCGCAGAGGGAAATTTAATGTTGTAACTCGTCATCCTGGTTTCATTAAAGAGTTGTTCTAGATGCCGATGGCTGTGGGCAGGAAGGATCTCTTGTAGCGGTGTCTTACAGCAGATCTGAAGAAGCCTCTGACTGAAGACACTGTTGTTGTATGACAGTCTGATGAAGAGGATGCTGAGGGTTGTCTATAATGTAATATACTTGATCAAGAAAGCTCATCAGAGACTCTACTTCCTCAGGCGGCTGACGAGCTGGTCTGGGAAGCTCAGTCCTCACCTTCTTCAACAGGTGTGCAGTGGAGAGCATCCTGTGCTCCAGCATCAACGTGTGGCATGGAGGCTGCACAGCTGCAGAAAGAAAAGCTTTGCAGAGAGTGGTGAAGGCTGCACAGAAGATGTTGGAGTCAGCCTCCCCACCATCACAGATATCTACACCTCCAGATGCAGGAAGAGGACCACCTGCATCATGAAGGACCCCACTCACCCAGCACACACACTTTTTGCCCCACTCCCCTCAGGAAGGAGGTTGAAGAGCATTAAGTGTAGAACCACTAGACTGAGGAACAGCTTCTACCCTGAGGCTGTTAAGACTCATGAATCTCTAACTAGAATAATCACTGTGAAAAACCACATCATGTTGCTGCTGATCTGTTTCATGTTGCTGCTGATCTGTTTCATGTTGATGTGTTCATACGTGCTCATCTGCTCACACAGACTCATGTTCATGTTTGTGCTGATGTTCAATGTTTTCATGTTATGAGTGCTTAGTGTATATTTAGTTGATGTTTTTCTTAGATCATATCTTAGATGTTATTACTGTTTTTCTTATACATTTTATTGTTGGATGTAACTGGGACCCAGTGTACATAATTTTGTTCCATCACATGTACCACATGAGGTGCAAATGACAATAAAGAAACTCTGACTGATAACGTTCTTCATTTTATGAAGAATCCTTCTTTGAACAATCATCTCCAAAAGGTTTTAAGAGTCCCCAGAACTGAGCCAGCCTTCTTTATGAGCTTGTTGATCTTTTTAAGTCACTTGCTCTGGTGCTGCTCCCCCAGCAGATGATGGCAGAAGAGACAGCGCTCTCTACAACAGACTTGTAGAAGATATGCAGCATCTTGCTGCAAACACTGAAGGACTTCAGCTTCAAGAAGTACAGCCTGCTCTGTCCCTTCTTGTAGACCCTTCACTGTTGCATCTCCAGTCCAGTCTGTTGTCCAGGTGAACTCCAAGGTATTTATCCTTCTCCACCACCTCCACTTCTTCTCCCATGATGGAAAGTGTTGAACCTGTTCCTGTTTCTCCTGAAATCTACAATCATCTCCTTTTTTTTGTTCACATTCAAGATGAGATGATTGTTTCCACACCATGCCACAAAGTGGTCCACCAGTTCCCTGTACTCAGCTTCTTGTCCATCTCTGATACACCCGACTACTGCAGAGTCATCAGAATATTTCTGCAGATGACAGGAGTCTGTTTTGTACTGGAAATCTGAGGTGTACAGAGTGAAAAGGAATGGTGAGAGTACAGTCCCCTGTGGTGCTCCTGAGCTACTGACCACCTGGTCAGACACACAACCATTCAGTCTCACAAACTGTGATCTGTCCATCAGGTAGTCATTGATCCAGGTGATTGTTGATGCCTCCACCTGAGTCTTCTGAAGTTTCTGACAAAGCAAATCAGGCTGGATTGTGTTAAATGCACTGGAGAAATCAAAGAACATGACTCTCACAGTGCTGTCTGCCTTTTCTACATGACAGGGAGTTTGCTGAAGCAGGTGTATGATGGCATCTTCAACTCCAAGTCCACGCTGATAAGCAAACTGCAGTGGGTCCTGATATGTGCTTGTTTAGTCAGGTGGACCAACAGAAGTCTCTCTAGGACGTTCATGATGTGGGATGTTAGGGCAACAGGTCTATAGTCATTGAGGACTGATGGGTGAGGTTTCTTTAGCACTGGAACAAGGCAGGATGTTTTCCACAACACTGGAACCTTCTCCTGGGTCAGGCTAAGGTTGAAGAAGTGCTGCAGAACCCCACAGAGCTGCTCTGTCACTTCAGTCGCTTGGATCCAGGACCTGGTTTCAGTCTTGATCCAAACCTCATGACCACAGGTTGGAACGAAGACAGACAAGTAAATCCAGAGCTTTGCTTTTAGACTGACTGAAGCAACCCCCCATTACTGAGGATGAGGTCTCAATCAGTGGATCCACCTCCTGCACCATCCCACCATCACTCGTGAACAAGACGCACAGACACTTGAACTCCTCCACCTGAGGCAAATTCTCCCCTGACTCACAGGGGGAATTCCACCCGTTTCCCATCGAGAACCTCAGACTTACAGGAACTGAACTCATTTCAGCTGCTTCACACTCGGCTGTGAACCGCCCCAGTGCACACCGAGGGTCCCCAAGACTCCAACAGAAACAAAAAGCAGAGAAGAGACCCTGAGGTTCCCAAACCAGACACCTTTTCTCCACAACTGTTGGTTTTTGGCTATTTTTTTTTATTGGGCTTTTGTCTACCAGCTGCCTACCTTTCGTTAGTTTTAGCTTTAAGGTAATTTTAGCTTATAGCTGTTTTTCTGCCAGCTTTCCCTACTTGTTCCGATTGTTTCAGCGTTCATTCTCATTTCAACTTTTAACATTTCCTACAATCCATTAAAACCATCTTTAATGAGTCAGTAAAAAATAACCATCACTGTACAGAACAAGACAGAGCGACGATCACTTTATGGTGATGTTGATAATGCTGATGTCCTCATACGGTTTGTCTGTCTTGGGGTTGACTTTGGCATTGGAGATCCTCTGGACCACCTCCATGCCTTTAGTGCACCTTCCAAACACGGTGTGTTTGTTGTCCAGCCAAGGCTGTAAACAAACAAGAAAATAAAATTAATTAAAGAGTTCTGGTATAAAGAAAAAAAGGTTTGTAAGCTCAATCATCCAGGTAGATAACAACAAAAAACCTTAAATCAGGTCATCTGGTCCAGTTTCTTTAAGGGAGAAACTGAGTTCTTGTATAATTCTAGTTTAGATACAAACTTGAATCTGTCTTTTTCTTTTATGCGTCATGCTGGTATAAAGTATATATATGAAGTAGTTTAAACTAAGTTAACACGAAAACAAGCAAAACAAAGCCTAAACTGATCAGAAGAGCCTAAAATGTGCAACAGCTAAAAGCAGAAAACTGTAGTTATAAGCTACAAGATGCAGGAATGGTAGTTTAATAAAAACAGTGGCTAAAAGGAGTAGAACCCAAGATATAATGACCCAAACAGAAGCCAAAACTTATGAACGAGACGTTAAAATGAGCAAAACAGATGCTAAAGTTAGCTCAAAGCTAACATTATAACATAAGAAGACAAAAAACGACTTTAAAGTGAACAGTGTTCATGAAGGAATTGATGAAATGTATTTTAATGGGGAATTTTATTTTAAATACAATAAAATATTTTGAAAAGTATAAAAATGACTAAATCAAAAGTCATAGTTTGATCTTGATCAAACTGATTTTGGTATTTAAATGGTTACCACAGCCTCCATGCCAGCACTTTGTCTGTAAACTGGTAACCAGGCCACTCACAGTTGGGACCACGGTGACGAAGAACTGGGAGCCGTTGGTGCCGGGTCCTGCATTCGCCATGCTGAGCGTGTACGGGCGGTCGTGTCTCAGGGTGGTGTGAAACTCGTCCTCGAACTCCCCCCCCCAGATGCTCTCTCCTCCCATGCCTGTGCCAGTGGGGTCTCCTGTCTGGATCATGAAGCTCTGCACAAGAGGACAGATTTAAACCCAGCTGTTTGTTGCTCTGGTAACGGATTAAAGAAAAACACTTACCTTAATGACTCGGTGGAAAATATGTCCATTGTAGTATCCATTTCTGCTGTGAACGCAGAAGTTCTCCACAGTTTTTGGGCACCTAAAAACACAGATGTTATCCTGAGATAAGACACGGAGGCAGACCTTCTGCACAAAGCCTCAGTGTTGAGTGGACACTTACTCCACAGGAAAAAGCTTAATGTAGATGTCTCCCATGGTGGTGTGTATGATGGCGCTGTCAGACACTCTCTTGGGACCCTCAGCCTGAGTGGCAGCCATCACCTCCTCCTTCGAAGGCTTCTCGTTAAAGATGTCTCTGTCAGAGTCTGCACTCTTTGTGTCTTCTGGTTCTCTCTTTGTGAACTTCACAAAAACAGAAAAACATGATGAGCAATAATAAGAAAAGACCACCTTTTATATCAGACCTTTAAAGTTTAACACGGACCATTTTTCCATATTCCATATCCAGCTGATCGAGTCATTACAAATACAGAATCATATTCTGTGTCAGAAACACAAACTGTTTAAAAAAACTTTCGTTTTTGTGACAATTTCAAGTCGTTTCAGTGTCTGCTTTGGAAACAGACCCTTCACTTCCATATATGGCGTGTGATGTCATGCCAGGGACTTGACCATGAGAGACCACCACATTTCTGTTGTACAGGGCTGGAGGTCGATGAAGGAGAAAAAGACGTGGAAGTTGAAGGAAGTTCAGCGGCGATGGAGACGCACCGAGAGCGAATGATGAGATTTGTGATATTTAGCACGTTTGGATTTTACAGGGCGGCACGATGGTTCAGTTGGCTGAACTGTTGCCTCTCAGCGAGGCCACTGGATCAAATCCCAGCCTGCTCTGGGTGGAGTTTACATGTTCTCTCCGTGCTGCGTGGGTTTCTCTGGTTTCCTCCCACAGACCAAAAACATGCATGTTAGTCTGAGTGGTAAAACTTTTTTGTCCAATGCAACTGGCTTCCTCAGGCTGATGATGCCTTCTGGATGGAGGGCAAAAAAAAAAAAGAAACTGTTGTATTTTACTGTTAACTTTTTGTGTTTTTGAGTGGCACTAGATGCATTTTTTACTCTTTTTATCTGTCTTAACTGTAAAACACTTTGGTCAGCTTTTGTTGTTTTCATGTGCTATAGGAATAAATTGACAAAAAAGAAAGTGTCCAGATGACCAGACTGAACATTGTCGCACCTGGAGGAAACTCCACGTCACATTTCTGTGCCAAGTTGGTGAAGATGAAATGTATTCAGCAGGTGTTTCACATTTGTCTACTTTTTATTGGTATTGTTTGTTTTCTCTACTTAGCTACTGTTGACTCTGTTTATAATATCCAGTCTAACTAATATATAACTGTAAGCCCAGTTGTTGGTTCTGTTAGTTTATACAGCTGAAAGCTTGTGTCAAACTCAAGGCCCGCAGGTCACATATGAATAATTTATACCCCTACAAAAAAACGTTTAAATGTAACTCTCAGATCTCATTAGAATAAAAATAAGATAAAATTAAAATCTTCAATGCAGCTCTTAGTTCTAGGTATCACATCGGCTGTAATGGTCCCTGATGGGTTTTATTGGACTCTTGACTTTTTCCACTGCAAATACAAAGTTAACTCTGTGCATTAAACATTTCCTTCATATAATTAAATAACTGTAAAGAAAAGCGCTGGGTAAAAGCAAAACTCATCTGTAGACTACAAAACAACTGCCGTAAAGTTCTGTTCAGTAAAAGTGGGTCCAAGTATTGGACCCTTATTTAGTCCGTGTATCATAATTAGATTGGATGGCTTTACCAGGACCACAACACCTCACACGATGACTCTTAATTAATGCCAGCTGTGTTCTGTTCAGATTAAAATCCAGCTCTCTCACCAAATAGAAGCGGTTCTTCTTGAAGGCAGTGCAGAAGATGGTAGGGTCGGGCTCCAAGTTCTGCAGGGCGGGGTTGTCAGAGGCCTTCATTTCCACTGTGGGGGCCACATTCATGGCCTTTGCAACCCCCTGGAACAAGCAAAGCTGAACCACTCGGATATTCTCTTGCTTTCCAAGGATTCGCACACATCTGTTAAAGAAAAGCCACAAAAGACTTTAATATTTCTGCTTCAATTCAGCATTTTTATTTGTTTAGCTGAAATAAAAATTCATGTGGGAAAGCACTCCTGTTTAAAACCAGTGTAAATGAAAAAGTCTAACATGTACCAGACAAAAAAATAAATAAAAACATGTTTTTTTTTCTTCAAAAATAGTTCAATTGTAATTTTGCAAGACAAAAAGCTAAACAAAAAACAAAAAGCTAACTTTTTCTGAGAATATAGCTGTAATTTTACTAAAAGGACATGTGGTAAGTGATAAACTTACACTCAATATCACAAACATTTGTCTTCTTATCCTTACCGATTTATAATTTAGATATACAAGAACCTTTCTTCATTTAACTCTTATAAATGTTTCTATTTAAAAAATGAACTGTTTTTAACATGGCAGAATATCTACCGGTCCAACTCACACCCACAATATGGACGGTTTACTTTGGCAGGAGGTGCCACAGCCTGAGGACCAGAACCACCAGGTTCTGCAACAATTTCATCCCACGAGCTGTTAGACAGCCGAGCTCAGGTCACTGATGAAGTGACAACAGAAACACTCACACATTCCAAAACACCTATGTCTATAAAATTCATGTACAGTATGGACTCCTACACTGCTGAGGAGAAATTCAATTCTGTTTAATATTGCATGATGCACTGTACAATTTTAAATGACAGTAAAGTTTATATCATTCTTCTTGTATTATCTAAGTTCCATCCATCATCTTGATCTGGAGTCAGGTTTTGGGGGCAGCAGTTTGAGCAGGGAGGTCCAGACATCTCTTTCCACCTCTTCCAGCTCTTCTGGGAGGACTCCAAGGTGTTCCCAGGCCAACTGAAAGACAGTCTCTCCAGCGTGTCCAGGTCTCCTCCCAGTTGGACACGCTTGATGTCCCAAGGTCCATCCTTACCAGATATCTGAACCACCTCAACTGGCTCCTCTGGATGTGGAGGAGAAGCAGCTCTATTCCAAGTCTCTCCTGGAGAACTGAACTTCTCACCCTGTCTCTTAAGGAAGAGTCCAGCGTGCATGCAGAGAAAACTAGCTCATGAGGAAAACCCTGAGATACTTGAACTTGGACAGAGAGCACATTCAGTCTAGGTGGGAAAATCCTCTCCCAACATCTAGATTTTTAAGTAATTCTCTTCAGTATCAGTCAGACTGATTTAAAATGAACAACTAGTGTCAGACAGCATGTTCAAGTGGGAGAGGACCTGTAGAAAATAAGGGTTTCTTTCAGTCTGAGAGTTTCTCCACGAGTTTCTTTCACCGGTTTGAGAGAGGAGTGAAGGAAGCCATCTTTGTGAAGAGAAACCATACAGGGGTGGAGGCCACCATGTTCAACTGTCCCCCTCTTACAATGCTGTTATTTCTAGTATCACTCAGCCCTCTGTGAATAGCAAGAGGCCATCAGGGCACTAACGATCAGTTGTTAGGCTGATGGTCCTCCTCCATCAAGTGAACAGCTAGTTCTGGATGGTAAATGGTAAATGGACTGTACTTATATAGCGCCTTTCTATCTTATTTCAAGATACTCAAAGCTCTTTACACTACAATCTGTGCCTCATTTACCCATTCATACAGCACTCTACTAGATCTCTACAAAGCTAATTGAACAAATCATTCTAAAGAGATTAATCAGAGCTTTATCACATTCATACACCGATGGGACACACATCAGAGGCAATGAGGGGTTCAGTGTCTTGCCCATGGACACTTCGGCATGTGACTGCTGGTGATTTGAACCCCCAACTCTTGCATCGGAGGACAACTGCTTTATCCACTCAGCCACAGCCGCCCCACCAGCAAACTGGTTGATCCACTATGAGAAGGTGCTGTTTATAAGACTGAAGGGCCCTGCATACTCCATCAGAAATGCCAAAATCGTCTCTCGTAGTCGTAGTTGTGACGAAAATTGCATCATTTTCATCGCAGAGCAACTTCGCCTGCTCCTTCTCGACACAAGGCCTTGGCCGAACTTTTTCCTTACAGGCGTATGCGCCAAGTATTGTGTGACTGATCAGAAGTTTGTGGGCGTGTTCGACAATGTGGAAATGCACTCAGACATTCAGCTGTATGACTCTTCAAACACACTAAATGAGTCAAATGGCCAAAAACTCCTGGATGGAGATCGTGCACAGAGGAAGGAGACTGTCTGCTGAAATGTGGCTCTTTCTTCACGATAGATTTGTGTCCAAACGGCGGCTGCAGGGACAGGGTGGTGATGTATACAGCAGCAGCAGTTTCCCAGGAGCTCTGTGTCTAGCGCTTCAGACTGAAGAAGTCTTTTGGATAAAAGATGAAACATTTTAACAAAGAAGAATCCATCCAGAGGACCTGACTCCACCTTGTTAGGTTTACTACATTAAGTTTTCTTTCAGTTAATTTGCTTTGAGTTTTCATTAAAACGTCCTTTGTAAATATTCCCCTGCAAAGTTATTTGCAGATACCGTGATGAGAATTTAGGAATTCTCTTCTGCTGAATAACCCAACAGTTCCACTTCTAGGTGGTTTGAAATCACAGTAGGATTTATTTTACTATAATGGAGTCTTCTGAAAGCCTTTTTTTTCTTGGCTTGATAACACAACACAGTTCAGTTAACAAGACTAAAGCTGACTGTTTTTACCCGACAGCTCATATTTAATGTTAGACCTGTTGTATGAATCACGCCCAACTAGGGCTGGGCCATATCATATCGTTCACGATAATACCGGTAAAAAACGCTTGCCCGGGCAAAAAAATGATTTCATGATATGCTAATTTCATGACGTAATATGTCAGGGCGCCCCGCCCCATTAACAGAACCGAGTGCGCCGAATGATCAAACCAAACTGCACCCCCCCCCCACCCCCACCCCCATCGGTACTGGTGTGATGCTAATTAGCTGCGCGCAATATTAGCTAGCTAAAAACAAACAACGTGCGGCTCAGCCGTCTCTCCATCCAGCTCTAAACTGCAGGTACAGACATATCAACTGTCTCTCCCTTCCCCCCGCCCGATGCTGCCACTCGTCTTTTTTCTCTCTCCCCACTCCGCTCTGAGCTGCCGGTGCAGGCTGCGTCTCCCCCGCTCTAAACTGCCGGTACAAACACGCGCAGCTAAACTGTCTCTTGAGATCCACAGTCCATGGAGCAAGAACAGAGTCAGGTGATCTGAGCCAGAGCATCAGAGAAACGAACCATTCCTGCAGGAACAGAAGAAGCTGAAACACCACAAGCTTCAGGGTCAGATGATCACCTTGTTACAAGTTCTGGAAGTTATAACTCATTTAAAGGAAACATATATTTTGTTGTATGTTACATTTATATTCAACAGATCTTCAGCTTCATTTTATTTAGTTATTTTGGGAAACTTCACCTGCACTTTAGTTTTTGTGGTGGATTTTGTTGATCTATATTTTGTGCAGACTTTTTCAATCTAAATAACAGAGGGATCTTTTTTTATTTTTATACTTGGAGACTGAATACTTTACTAAATAAAGTAATTTCAGTAAAATTGCCCCTTGTTTTTTTTTTAGTTTTTATATAATACGGCAAAACAACATGTTAAGTTAATTTTGGCAAATAAATAACTATGATTTCTGTTTTTTTTTTTTTTTTAATATCGCGAAATTTATCGTCATCAGAATGCTCTGAAATATCACAATATTATATTTGAGCCATATCGCCCACCCCTACGTCCAACTGAACTTATTCTTCCTCTGCTCCCATGAGACATACCTGTTGGTTTCTACATTGATGACTTTGATGCCCAGCATAGTCCCGTACAGAACAAAGTGGCCCGTCTCATCAAAGATAATATTTGTCAGTCTGACAGCATCCACCTTCTCAAGTTCCCTCTCCACAGCCATTCGCCTCCCAAACTCCATGTCGGGCAGCTGCTGCCTCATCTGCTGCAACTCTGTGAACATCTGACAAATAAAGCAGGTGTTAGACAAAAACTCAGCAAATACAGAGGCTGATAAGGGTGGGTGGACTTACTGTTAAAGATTCATCAAACACTCGCATCAGTTTTCCAGTCAGGAAACGGAAAATCCTCACTTTCCTGTCAGAAGCTATGGTGGCCATTTTCTTCCCATCAGGGGAGAAGGCCAGACTAACAGGATAGGTTTTATGTTTTGCAAACTCATACAAATCAGTGTCTGTTTTGTACTCCCAGTCCACGTGTTTGGGAAATTTGAATTCGTTCGGAAGGCCTGTCCAGTATTCGAGCATTCCTGCTTTGTCAGCCGACACAATGACTCTGAATTTGGGATTCAAGCGAATTTGGGACAGAGGACAAGAGTGCATTTTGTCAAAGACATGAAGGGGCTCGTTGCTTCCTCTTCCATCATACACAAAGATCCTCCCTGTGGATTTTTCTGAGCAAGCCACAGTGCAAATAGCATCTCCAGGGTTGTATATCCACTCACACTGGCCTGGATGAAATCTACAAATACAGATGAGAACAGAGAATATCAATCAAATTACAGTCCATGAGATAGAAATGGTTACTGTCTGCTGTGTACTTCATTTAAACCTACCCCAACTTCAGCATATTGATCATGTCAAAGTTGACCACGTCAAATACTTTCATGGCCTGATCATCACCAACAGAGCAGAGAAGAGCTCCTTCAGCGCTGACAGCAATGCTTTCCATCACACCTATACACAACAGAGCAAAAACAGTAAATGCATTAAAAAAAAGTTTTTCTCCTGTTTAGCTTACGACATATAATCTCAGGTTATACCAAGATGGCTTCGAAAGTGTTTCACAAACTCTATTCCATTGTCCTCTTTCTTTTTCCAAAATTTGACATGGCCATCTTGGCTGGCGGTGATGACAAAGTCTGTCCTAAAACAGAGAGAGAAAGACAAAGCGCATTAGTTTTCAGTCAGCCAAGCGATGACCCAGTTGGCAGTCAGGATAAATCATAGACAGATACAATAGATATGTGTATTAATATGTATGTATGCACCTCTGAATATACACGTGTGCATATACACATTTGTATACATCAGGTATGAGACAATCCCAGTGTCACAGCTGACGTGTGCAGCTGTGACACAGCCAGTGTATGTTTCCAGTGTACATAGTGCACATGACTCCCTCTAATTACTGCATTTCTCATCAGCCCCCAGGGGTATTTCCCTCGGAATTTTTTGTTTGACGTAGCCAAGAAGTTACTCTTTCACCTGTTTCTGATCGGCTGGATTCTGCAGACTTTTCATGCCATTCATTGGTGATAAAATTGTTGCTCCAGTTCAACAAGCTTAAAAAGCATGTTTGTGTTTACAGCAATCAATCAACGAATGGTAGACAAAATATAATATTTTATCCAAATACTGACTAACTTTCATGATAATCTGATGCTGAAAATGTGTTTGAAACCCTGAACACGATGAAGATTAATGCCCTGTCATGGCAGATGAAAAACAGCAGTTTTCTATAATCCCTGGATAATCTATTTTTTTTCCCCATCTAGTTTTAATATTCCGTTTTGGTGGCCTTAGGATCGCTTCTCTGTTTTTTGCAGATGATGTGGTCCTATTGGCTTCATCAGGTCGTGATCTACAGCTTTCGCTGGCGCGGTTTGCAGCAGAGTGTGACGCAGCCGGGATGAGGATCAGTTCCTCCAAATCCGAGGTCATGGTGTTGAGCCGGAAAAGGGTAGTGCCTTCTCTGGGTCGGGGAGGAGGTCCTACCCCAAGTGGAGGAGTTCAAGTATCTTGGAGTCTTGTTCATGAATGAGGGAAAAATGGAACGTGAGATCGATAGGCGGATAGGTGCAGCGTCTGCAGTGAAGTGGGCGCTGTACAGGTCTGTTGTGGTGAAGAGAGAGCTGAGTCAAAAGGCGAAGCTCTCAGTTTACCAATCGATCTACGTTCCCACCCTCATCTATGGTCATGAGCTTTGGGTTGTGACCAAAAGAACGAGATCACGGATACAAGCGGCCGCAATGAGTTTTCCCCACAGGGTGTCTGGGCTCTCCCTTAGAGATAGGGTAAGAAGCTCGGTCATCCGGGAGAGACTCGGAGTAGAACCACTGCTTCTCCACGTCGAGAGGAGCCAGCTGAGCTGGTTCGGGCATCTGGCCTCCTGAACGCCTCCCTGGGGAGGTGTTCCAGACACGTCCCACCGGGAGGAGGCCCAGAGGAAGACCCAGGACACGCTGGAGGGACTATGTTTCTCGGCTAGCCTGGGAACGCCTCGGGATTCCCCCGGAGGAGCTGGACCAAGTGGCTGGGGAGAGGGAAGTCTGGGCCTCCCTACTTAAGCTGCTACCCCCGTGACCCGACCCCGGATAAGCGGAAGAAAATGGATGGATGTTTTAATATTAGTGCCTATTTCATTTGCATGCAAGTCCTGGATTACACAGTTTACAGTTGTCATTTAATTAGTAATGAATTTAGGTAGTCAATATAAAGAACAAGTCATTTCCTACTTATGAAATTTTCATCCAATTATCTTTTTTTGTTTTCAAGGTTGGGGGGGGGGGGGGGGGTATGTTTTCTAGACTACATTGGCCATAACTTCCCATTTCTTCGCCAATCCAGATAATATTGGGTGTCAAAACTCTGTTTTATTAAACTCTACCCACATTGCTGTAAAAATAACAAATTATGGACTTTGATTTCATGTCTCATAAACATGTTTGTTTTCTGACACTGCAGTCACTGTATTACAGACTGAATAGAAAAGACCGCTTGTGTTTAATTACTTACTTGGAACAAACTAAATGCGTGATAACATCTCGGTGCATGTAGCTCCGCTCGTACATGGCAGCTGATGGCAGATTGTCCAAGTAGACCCGTTCATATTCAAGAACTGGAGAAAATAAAACAAAAACAAGAAGTCAGTGTTGATTAGCGCCGGACCGCAAGACTGACAAACCATCCGAGTTCAGCTCAGAGACCCACCTTTTCGTTTCTTTGTTTTTGTTGCTTCACTCGGCATGGGTCCAACCCACTCTGCATCTTCTCCTTCCTCATCTACATCCAAGCCATCGTGAGCTTTTCGCTTCAGCACCACATTATTTTCATCCGTCGCCATTACTGCAAAGGCTGTGGTCCTTCCCGGGTTATGGTGCTTCCGGTTCATCTGGTCATACTCAGACTGTTGAGTTTAGTTCGTATAGAAAATAGAAATAAACCCGAGTCTTAAATTATCTACAATTTATTGTTCTTTCATAATGTAGACCACGATTTAGACTTAAATTTAGGTTTTATTCTTTTACACTGATAGTTTTGAGGAATCAAAATTCACATATTTGTTTCTACGGGACTGTTTTGACAAAACACTTGGACGAAACCAATTTCAAATTTTGGGGGGGTTCAACCTGCTTCACTTGTTTATTAGTAGTATTTCTAAAGATTGACGCGCAAATGAACACATTCAACTGAGTTAGTAAATAAAGTTATAAAATTAAATAGATTTGTTACATTACAAGACAGCAAAACAAATATATCTGTTTAGACACTCGGAGGTAAACAACCCGCTAACATGGCAGGCTAACTGCTGAGAAAAAGAGAGTGTGAAATTTGTTTTATTTCGGAAAGCAGGAGTTGTTTTAAAGATTCATAGAAGTCTTTTTTGTTTGTGTTGTAGTGAGTTCAAGTGTTTAAAGGTGTGAAATATACGTTTGTTTATCCTTACAAAAGCAAAAGCTCAGCTGCAAAATGAGCAACATATACATTCAAGAGCCACCAACAAGTGGAAAGGTGAGTACGTTTATTTCAATTTATCTTTTATTTACATTTTCGACGAGATAATTTAATATTTTATTTACCAGTAGAGTTCTTAAATTTTTGTGCGTTTTGTTAATAACAGCATGGTATAGGGTAAATAATTATGTAGAAATATATTCGTGTTAATTTACAGCTTTTACGCCTATGTCTTCATAGAAAAAGGTAAAAGGAAAGGGTTACAAGACAGTGGTGAGACAGCTATGTTGTACAATTTGGAGACAGAGACATATAAACAAAAAGACAGGAGAAAGAACTGGAAGTGGCAGAGCTGAAGAAGTTGATGGATCAGATTAGGAATGAGATCATCAGAGGTACAGCACAGGTTGAACAACTGGGAGATAAAGTTAGAGACCAGACTGAGGTGAAGGAAGCCAGCAGACTCGTTGAATCTTCACTTCGTCACAGTTTTCCATCCTGAGCAAGCACAATGGCAACAGTGGAAAGGAAAATCTCCCTTTTAACAGAAAGATCTCCAGCAGAACCAGGCTCAGGACAAGCGGCCATCTGCTTCGACCGGCTGGATCAGCGGCCCACCTTCTCTAACTTCTGTGCCACCATTCCCCAATTTCTTCCTCAGGTCCTGATGAAGACTACAGCAGGGGACATTGACATTGAGCTGTGGTCGAAGGAGGCTCCTAAAGCTTGCAGAAACTTTGTGCAGCTGTGTATGGAAGGTAAGAATTTACTGCCGGGTAATTAAACTGATGCCAAAAACCCTAGTGGTCCAAGAAAAAACACATCTATATGTCTATACGCCACCGTGCTGCTGTCTATGTTTTAGATGCTTTTTTTTTATTAGACCTTTATTTATACAGGTTAGTTCCCATTGAGCCTCGAAGACTCGTTTACAAGAGAGATCTGTTTCATACAACATACAGGCAGATGAGAAAACGAGAGCACGAGGGTGGAGGAAGCCAAAAAAAAAAATCATGTCTCACACCATTTCCTGGCTGGGAAACAGTGTGAAAGATGAAAAAAAAAGACCTTGCAACATAAAGCTGCATTATACAATGACATCATAATTATACAATGACATCATAATACATTTGAGCATAGAGGTGGACAGATGTAATGGGATTCTCTAAAAATATTAGTGTATCGTCACTAAAGAGTGGACCGGTGAGTTATCCATAAACACTCCAGAGTTCCAAAGTTCTGATAGGATGGTACAGTGAGCTTCTAGATACATATCCTCCAGGAACAATTTGAGACAAGTTGACCTGTCCAAGGCCAGCGGGGAGGCCAAATTCAGATAAAGAATAATTGTGTGGGCTGCCAGTCTCTGTTTTCTGTCTGCCTTTAAGTTCTGCTGGTACAACTCAATGGCAAATCCAAACAGCCAGAATTAGTGGACATTCCAGCCGGTCCGTGCTAGATTTAACGTTCTCCAAGACTGAATCCTTCATGCTGGTGAGTTCCAGGAGCCGCAAGTGGCTTACGATTCTCAGAAATTGTACCCAGCTTTCGGTTGAGCTCGGTAAGCATGAGTTTGAGAGCTCAAGACACGGATTAGTCCTTCACATAAGGCTGGTAGCTTTACCATGGCCAAAACTGCTGCCAATGTCTTCCTAATTGGTTGTTATCCTAGGTATCCACCAATTCCAAAAAGCAGAACCCCTATTATCATAAATCCAATATTGTGCACATCTTCTCTGTCCTCCACTGACAGAACAGATATGCACACCATCTTCCACTCATTCCAGGAATCCATGACGTACCCAGCTGCTAGGGTCCGTTCAGGGCATAAGGGCTCTCCATCACCCTGTTGTCTGGTGGAAACATTTTTATCAACTGCGTTGAGGGACCAGCTGACCAAATCCAAAGCTTTGTTTGATGCATGTCAAAAGTTAAACCATAAGTAGTTAAATGTACCATGAAGATGCCTGGACAGGGGCCCTTGATGCAAAGGAGACCCTTTTTAATGAGTAAAAATTAAAAGATGCTGAAAGTCAAGGAAGAGGATAGACACATAGAGAAATAACATTTACACTAAGAACAACACTTTAAATAAAACTATAAATGATGCATGGGATTTGGGAGAAAGATTAAGTTTTTTCTTTACATAATGACTAAAACCTCGGCAGCAATTATGTGGCAAATTGAACAGTCCGATTAAAACGGGGAAAGAGCGCTGTGCAATCAGAGATTCTGTTGCAAAAATAATGAACAACAGCTGTTTATGTAAAACACTTTCAAAACACCATTACAGCTTCAGTTAATGTATTTAGAGAAGAAGAAAAAAAACAACGCTATCAAACAAAACACAAATACCACACAGCTGTATTTGTTTATTTGTGTATTTATTTGTGTATTAGTTCAAACTGGTTCAAAACCAACAAAGTCCATGCTCAATAATCCAGGTATACAGGTATTGAGCATGGACTTTGTTGGTTTTGAATCAGTTTGACATGACTGTCGACAAAGAAGAGGGCCGGCACCAGAGGAGGGGGCGTGCCAAAGACACCATTGTAGCACCAACATAACTGGTTTGTTCCACTTTGGAGTAAGCTGTTGGGGGAAGAATCAGTTTTGTGTTGGGTGTTTTCTTGACTGATGAAGCCTTCTGGATGGAAGGTGAAACGTTTCACCAGAAACAAAGAAACTGTCCAGATGACCTGACTGAAAATTGTTGGATTGTATACCTGGATTACTGAGCATGGACTTTGTTCATTTTAACACACACACATGGTTCTGTAACATTTGACATTAGTAAGTGAAAAACATCCATGACCTTTACATCCCCCATCACTGATCAAGAGCAAAGTTACGTCTTTATTTATTTTATTATTTTTAGAAACTTGGTTTTTGAGAATTATTTTGAAAGAACAAGACTTTAAGATAAAGTCTTGTCTAACTGCTTTAAAATGTTTCTCCACACTTTAGGTTATTATGATGGCACAATTTTCCACAGAGTGGTGCAGGATTTTATCATTCAAGGAGGAGATCCATCTGGAACGGGGCTAGGTGGAGAGTCCATCTACGGCCGTCCTTTCAAAGTAAAACTTCCTTACCTCTTTTTTTCAATCTACATATATATATTTTTAATTATTAGTGTTAAATAACACAACCAGAAGTAAAAATGTAAATGTTAAAGCAAATATAACAGAAACTGCAGTGCATTTCTTGTTAAAACTCCTTTTTTTATTCAAACTTCCAGGATGAGTTTCATTCCAGGCTGCGCTTCATTCGGAGGGGTTTGGTTGCCATGGCAAACGCTGGAACACATGACAATGGCAGTCAGTTTTTCTTCACGTTGGGGCGAGCAGATGAGCTCAATAACAAGCACACAATATTTGGAAAGGTAAATCTGAATAGTTAAGAGATTTTTATTGTCCATAAACTAGAGTTCCTCATGTGGCAGACCACAGTCTGGCTCCAGACACAAATTTAGTCTGGACCCCATCTGGTTGTTCTATTTCAATTAAATGATCTTCCATCCATCCAGTATCTTTACCTGCTTCTTCCTTCCTCTGGGTCATGAGGGGTCACTGGTGCCCATGTCCAGCAGCACTGTGTGAGAGGCAGAGTACACCCTGGACAGGTCTCCAGTCCATCACAGGGACAAACGAGACAAACAACCATTCAGTCTCTCACTCACCTAGAGAGAATTTAGAGTTACCAATCAGCCTAACATGCATGTTTTTGGTCTGTGGGAGGAAACTGGAGAAAGCCCATGCATGCACGGAGAGAACATGGAAACTACCCAGAAAGGCCCTGACTGGGATAGAATCCGACAACCTTCTCACTGGCAGCTCTAACAACTGCGCCACCAGAATGAAATTAAATGATCTTTTTACCTTTTTTGTTTTGTTTATGGTCATTTATTTTAAATGGTATAGCTTTTTGAGACATTATTTTATTGCAGGCTGTCCTGGCTTCCCTCCTCTTGGTGTCACTCTGTGCAGAGAAATTTGGACCTGCAGTCAGACACGAGATTAAAAATTTAACATCTGAACAAAGAAAATCTGCTGAATCAGCATTCATACTATTATTGTTTTCATGTTCACAAGTTTTCTGTTTGTTTTTGTCCCCCTGCCGCAGAGACAATTGGAAATACCCCGTCTGCCTGTCTGTCTTATGAACATGATAACTTGTAAAATAATGGAGGTACCAACTTCCATTTTAGTTTGTGGCTGCATCTACGTATAGGACAGGTCACTGATGAAAATTGGGTTGCTATATCAAAATCTAAGATGGCTGTCTAGCAACAGGCAGTTGAACTGCACCAGAAAAACTAATTGACTCTGAAATGCCATAGTTTAAACTGGGCCGAGAGTTTGGAACTCCACACTCCAGTTCTGAGTTGAGAAAGCTCCACGGGCTGGAAGCGAAATGTCATCAGCTACAAAATAGAAGTCTAGTTGCTTTGTTTTTTTTTTTATTACACCAGCACTTTGCAATCCTACATTTATTTAATAATACATTATGTTACGGTATTATTTTACAGTTGCATCTCAAACATATATATTACTCTAGACCAGGGCTATTCAACTGGCAGCCCGCAGGCCGGGTGACTTCGATCCGGCCCACCATTGACTTAATTAATAAAATTTTTAAAAAATTGGGGCTGGGGGGGTGGGCTGGGTTTGGGTTTTGGATTCAGATTCAGAGGTTCTGTTTGTTGCATTTATGATTCAATGCAACAAAGTAAACAAATTTAAAAAGTAATAGGTCGTTGTAATACTTGGTTTATGTACATAATGACTTTAATACTTGGTTTATTTACATAATGACTTTAATACTTGGTTTATTTACATAATGACTTTAATACTTAGTTTATTTACATAATGACTTTAATACTTGGTTTATTTACATAATGACTTTAATACTTGGTTTATTTACATAATGACTTTAGTACTTGGTTTATTTACATAATGACTTTAATACTTGGTTTATTTACATAATGACTTAAATTGCTGGATGTCCGGCCCCTGAGCTGCTGACTTTCAATAACTGTGGCCCCCTGAGCAGTTTAGCTGAATAGTTCTGGCAAAGACATTTGCTGGAGAAACGTTTAGGCGGACCTCAAGCAGGTTTGTTGTCACCCATCATGAAGCGAAGAAAGCAAACTGGAAATATTGTCCGTCCAGCTGTGCATGTTGTGAGCTTGATAAGTTCAATAAAATAATAAGTGAAAATAAATGAGGTACTGACTTGGGTTACCACATCAAATTTAAAATGAAAGAAGTAAATCTACCACCCCTATCTAATTTAATCTAGCGATGGGGGACATCGATGGACCACTTCTTTGAAAATTGCTTCAGTATTTAATAAATGTTTCTGTTGTTAGGATGTTAACAGGATTGTGTTAAAATTCATTCAACAAGATGTTTGTTTGTTTGTTTGTTTTTCTCACATGTAATTCAGGTGACAGGAGACACGATTTATAATCTGCTCAGATTAGCAGAAGTTGAATGTGATGCTGATGAAAGACCACTGAATCCTCACAAGATCAGAACCACCGAGGTATTTGTACTTAACATCATTTCACGTGTTTACTAGTCTGTGTGTTCATCAGTTTTATTGGTTTCTTCTGTTTGTGACTTGAGGTGCTTCATTCTCCTTTTGATGACATCGTACCTCGTGAAACAAAGAAAGGAAGAAAGGAAAAAGACAAGGAGGAGGCGAAGAAGTCCCAGTCAAAAGCCACAAAGTGAGTGTTCACACTTTGTTATTCTTTTTTTGTTTGTTTGTTTTGTTGTTTGTTTTGTTACAAAGTCAGTGAAGCAGCTTCTGCAAGCTTGGAACTCTTTGAAGATTTGTTGTTTAATATGTTTGTTTTTATTTACCATAATTTGTTTTTCAGTTGTGTTATCTCCAGCAATATTAAAAACATCTTGAGCTCAAATTAAACGATCACTTATAAAAAATATATTGTTTACTTAGTAAAGATACCTATGAGTTACTTGGTATAATAATCATGTTTTAACATATTTATTAAATATTACGGATTGTGAGGAAAAACAAAGATTAAAGAAATAATTTTGCATTGATTTAGAACGTCATACAGATTATTATTCAAGTTTATTTTTTATTTTTCTGTTTTGTTGTTGCACAAACACCATAAACACGTTGACTTTTGCAGGAACTTCAGTCTTTTATCATTTGGAGAAGAAGCTGAAGAAGAAGAGGAGATGGTGAATCAAGTTAGCCAGGTTGTAATTTTTAACTAGTGTTTTATTTTTTCCTAAAGATGATCTTTTTTGTCCAGCTCTGCCTTTCTTCCTTCTGTCAGTCACTTTTAATTTATCTAAACTACAGAGAATTTCTGATCTTTCTTCGTGAATGATTCTGAACTAGTTCAAAAACAACACTCTAAACTAAATTTTTGAAATTGTTCACGACAGCTTTAAGAGTTTACAGACATCTAAATGAACATTTTGTCCTTTTTACAAACTTGTTTTTTTTTTTTTTTTTTTTTTTTACTAAATTACAACATAAATACCAAAGTTATAAATACGACACGAATTCCAAAAACGGTGGGACGTTGTGTAGTAAATAAATTAAAACGGAACACAATCATTTTCAAATCTTATAAACCCATTTCTCTATACTGCAAATAGATTAAGTGTTGAAATAAGAAATTGTACAAGTCTCTTTTTAATACGTAGGTTTTGGTTTTGATGGTGACAACACATCTGAAGAAACAAGCAACAAAAATGTGTGATACTAAAAAGAAACAGCTGCAGGAGCTCGATGCAACAAATCAGGTTAACTGACTGAACCTTTTGGACGTAAAGATGGGCAGAGGTTCACCACTCTATGAAAAGCTGGAACTTTTTCCATGTTAAGAGACTTTCAATGTGCAGTCCATATCTCATCAAATGACTTGAAGAATCAGTAAAAATCTCTGAGCTTAAAGGACTGGGCTGAAAATTTGATTTGATGCCCCTGATCCAGGCCCTCAGGGGCCACTGCATGAAAACAGGTCTGGTTCTGTTCATCACTGCACAGTTCTCCCAACAGGTTACTCAACATTAGCCACATTTATATGGACATAAGTAGGCCTGTCACAATAAACAATAAATCAATTAATCGCATTATAAATGAAAATGATCAACCTCATTTTCATTTATCGGCTTTATCTTTTCTTTGTGTCTCTCTTTCTACTGAAGACACTGGATGACAAAAGGTTCAACTCCTGTGCTCTTCACTGACCCCTCCCTTTCTCTTTATTCTTTAAAATACATTTTAACCATCCCAAATCACGTTATTGGATCGTTAAAAGCAGCTAAGCTGAGAAACTAAGTTACAAACTAAACTGACAGGCCGACCTCGGGGAAAAAAAGCTCCGTCTTGTCGAAGCTCCAAAATTCACAGTTGAAACTCGTGCCTTTGTGTAAAAAGTTGTTTTTCTTTGAAACAAGAAGCTGAGAACTTGTTTACTGATTTTTTATTAAAAGCTTCGTGTGACAAATGCTATTCTAAAGAGCTCAAACCACACCGCGCGGCCGCCATTTTGAGAACCGAAAAAAAAGGAAGGAGAGACGGCCCATGTCATGTCAAGGGGCCTCCCTCCCATTTTTGTTAGAGACACACTGCTCGTTCCCTCACTATCCACCCTTCGATTCAAACGGTCTTATACTGCAATCCGTGGTCAAAAAAGGGTACTACACATGCAAATTTACTAACAATTCTACTTAAATTTAACAATAATTACTAATTATTGTCAAATTTCAAACAATATTATCGTTTATCGCAATAATTTCTGAGACAATTAATTGCCCAGCAAAATTTGTTATTGTGACAGGCTTACACATAAGTAATCGGATTAAACGTCCATTCAGAATAAAAATGCGTCATGTAAATGTCTTATTCGGATTATTCTTTGTTGATTCAGCTCGATTTGAATGAATTTGTAATCAGAATGAGACGGGTGGTTTATGCCGATTCATAATCTGAACAACGTGCATGTAAACACTTAATCTGGGGGCGGCTGTGGCTGAGTGGTTAGAGCAGTCGTCCTCCAATGCAAGAGTTGGGGGTTCGAATCCACCAGCAGTCACATGTCGAAGTGTCCCTGGGCAAAATACTGAACCCCTCATAGCCTCTGATGTGTGTCCCATCAGTGTTTGAATGTGATAAAGAACTGATTAGTCTCTTTAGAATGATTTGTTCAATTAGCTTTGTAGAGATCTAGTATAGAGCTGCATGAATGGGTAAATGAGGCACAGATTGTAGTGTAAAGTGCTTTGAGTATCTCGATAAGATAGAAAGCCCTATATAAGTACAGTCCATTTACCATTTAATCTGATCATTTTATTCTGATTGTGGAGAACTGACCTGACTGCGCAAGTGCAACCTATGTATACTTCACGTATTTCCGCTTGGCTAGACGCTAATATGTCGGGGAAGTAAAACTGGTCGGTGAGTGACACAACATTTCTACTAGAAAATTTGAAAGAGCTCAAAATGATCTGTATTACTTGTAGCTCAGTCAGGGAGTGCAGTAACGTCTCCACCGTCATTAAAACCTGTCATGGGTCCATTTTGGGCGCTCAGGTTTGTTTACGTTCATCCCGGAAATAGAACTTCTTCTTCTGTGTTTTTTTTTTTTTTTTTTTTTCAGGAGAGCTACCACTCTGCGCATGTCAGTACTTCTATTCAGAATAAAAGCCTGGTGCATGTAAACGCTCGTCGTGAACGGATTGTGCACATGTAAACGATACATTAGGATTATTTAATCTGAATACATTTCAATTTGATCAAAGAATTTTGCGCATGTAAACATAGCTACTAATAATTACAGCTACTTTTGTCTATAATGTCCACTGTGTTGTAATTTGATCAGAATAATTTGTGTAAAGATATGTTTTTTTTTCTGGTCATATTTTGGATACAATTATTCCATCACGTTTTTATAAAATTAAAGACAATGTGTGGATTTATCGGTATGTTGCTCATTTCATTTTTTAAGTTGGAAATGAAGTTAGCTGTTTTCGATGTGTCCTATTAAGTGGAGCAAGTTTGAAAGACCTAAAAATATAAAAAGAACTCTTCTCATTTTTCTTATTTCTTCCTTCAGACATTTAAGGGAAAAAGCAAAAGCAGTCATGACCTGTTGAAAGATGATCCCAGACTGAGTTCTGTTCCAGCTGTTGATAAGTATGAGCTCTAACAGAGTGATGCCTGCCGCCGAAGCCACAGTGCAATAATTTATTTATTGTTCATCTAAAAAAGTTAAATCAGGTCCTCTGGACGAATTCTTCTTGTTAAAACGTTTCATCTTTTATCTAAAAGACTTGACTCCCATCACCCTTTGTCACACAAGTTAGGAGTCTTCAGGACTCTGTACCACAGAGCAGACAGCGTCCCCACTAACTCAGGAGCCAGGCAGAAGGAGAAATCCTACACAAGACAGGCTCTAGAGCAATGTGGATATCCTAACTGGGCCTTCCTGAAAGCAGAGAAGAAACACAAACAGGACTCCAGTCAGCCAACAGGTGAAAAAGAGGAACCCAGACCCAGACCAGTGGTCATTCCATATGTTGAGGGAGTATCAGAGAAACTGAGACGTTTATTTTCTAAACATAACGTCCCAGTGGCTTTTAAACCCCAAAATACATTACGGCAAAGACTGGTTCATCCCAAAGATCCAGTCCCCCGGCACAAACAGAGTAATATTGTGTATGCTGTTCAGTGTCAGGAGGGCTGTGATCAGTCTTACATCGGGGAAACTACACAGCCACTGGCCAAAAGGATGGACCAGCACAGAAGATCAACATCATCAGGCCAGGACTCTGCGGTCTACACTCATCTCCAGGCCATCGGTCACTCTTTCAGGGATGAAGATGTGCACATCCTTGACAGAGAGGAACAATGGTTTGAGAGAGGAGTAAAGGAGGCCATCTTTGAGAAAAGAAATTGTTCATCATTAAACAGGGGTGGAGGCCTCCGGGTTCAACTGTCCCCCTCTTACAATGCTGTTACAGTGCCTTGTGAAAGTATTCGGCCCCCTTGAACTTTTCAACCTTTTGCCACATTTCAGGCTTCAAACATAAAGATATTAAATTTTAATTTTTTGTGAAGAATCAACAAGTGGGACAAAATCATGAAGTGGAATGAAATTTATTGGATGTGTCAAACTTTTTTAACAAATAAAAAACTGAAAAGTGGGGCGTGCAATATTATTCGGCCCCCTTGCGTTAATACTTTGTAGCGCCGCCTTTTGCTGCAGTTCCAGCTGCAAGTCTCTTGGGGTTTGTCTCTATCAGTTTTGAACATGGAGACACTGAAATTCTGCCCATTCTTTGCAAAACAGCTCGAGCTCAGTGAGGTTGGATGGAGAGCGTTTGTGAACAGCAGTCTTCAGCTCTTTCCACAGATTCTCGATTGGATTCAGGTCTGGACTTTGACTTGGCCATTCCAACACCTGGATACATTTATTTGTGAACCATTCTATTGTAGATTTGGCTTTATGTTTTGATCATTGTCTTGTTGGAAGATAAATCTCCGTCCCAGTCTCAGGTCTCTTGCAGACTCAAACAGGTTTTCTTCCAGAATGGTCCTGTATTTGGCCCCATCCATCTTCCCATCAATTCTGACCATCTTCCCTGTCCCTGCTGACAAAAAGCAGGCCCAAACCATGATGCTGCCACCACCATGTTTGACAGTGGGGATGATGTGTTCAGGGTGATGAGCTGTGTTGCTTTTACACCAAACATATCATTTTGCATTGTTGCCAAACAGTTTGATTTTGGTTTCATGTGACCAGAGCACCTTCTTCCACATGTTTGGTGTCTCCCAGGTGCTTGTGACAAACTTTAAACAACACTTTTTATGGATATCTTTGAGAAATGTCTTTCTTCTTGCCACTCTTCCATAAAGGCCAGATTTGTGCAGTGTACGACTGATTGTTGTCCTATAGACAGACTCTCCCACCTCAGCTGTAGATCTCTGCAGTTCATCCAGAGTGATCATGGACCTCTTGGCTGCATCTCTGATCAGTCTTCTCCTTGTTCCAGATGAAAGTTTAGAGGGACGGCCGGGTCTTGGTAGATTTGCAGTGGTCTGATACTCCTTCCATCTCAATATGATTGCTTGCACAGTGCTCCTTGGGATGTTTAAAGCTTGGGACATCTTTTTGTATCCAAATCCGACTTTAAACTTCTCCACAACAGTATCTCGGACCTGCCTGGTGTGTTCCTTGGTCTTCATGATGCTCTCTGGGCTTTGAACAGAACCCTGAGACTATCACAGTGCAGGTGCATTTATACGGAGACTTGATTACACACAGGTGGATTCTATTTATCATCATCAGTCATTTGGGACAACATTGGATCATTCATAGATCCTCACTGAACTTCTGGAGTGAGTTTGCTGCTCTGAAAGTAAAGGGGCCGAATAATATTGCACGCCCCACTTTTCAGTTTTTTATTTGTTAAAAAATTTTGACACATCCAAAAAATTTCATTCCACTTCATGATTGTGTCCCACTTGTTGTTGATTCTTCAGAAAAAATAAAAATTTTATATCTTTATGTTTGAAACCTGAAATGTGGCAAAAGGTTGAAAAGTTCAAGGGGGCCGAATACTTTCGCAAGGCACTGTATTGCTAGTATCACTCAGCCCCCTGTGAATATTAAACAGCCATCAGTGTGCTAATGATCCATCGTTAGGCTGATGGCCCTTGATCATATGAACAGCTAGGTCTGAATGTCAACAACAAACTGGTTGATCCACTATGAGAAGGTGTTATTTATAAGACAGAGTTTATTACAGCTCCTCAGACTGAAGAAGTCTTTTGGATAAAAGACGAGAAACGTTTCAACAAAAAGAATCTGTCCACATGACCTGACTACTTTTTTAGATTTTTCTACCTGGATTATTGAGTATGCATCATGATAATATTTATTGTCCCTCTATTTTACCAGGGAAAATGTTAGAGAGCCAGTTCTCCTTTACAAACACGATGTGTTTTGGTGTGGTTGTAGCAGCATTCCCAACATATTCAACCTTTATTTATACAGGTTAATCCCATTGAGCCTCGGGGACTATACGAGCACCGAGTGTTATTTAGATTGTTTGACCTAATCTGTTCTGTCCTTTTTCATCTTAATGAGTTCAAGTTCAAACTTGGGCATGAAAGGTGGCGGGTGATTGGTTGCATTGTTTATTCATTTCTTTAGTCCGGTATTTTTACTTTTACCAATTATCAGTATTTTTTTCTCTTTTCGTAGGAGAAAAAAACAACAGAAACCTGGAGATGAAGCTGATGTAAGTAAAGCTGTTTGCACAGACAAAGCCAGCAGTTAAAGTTCTTTGATTTGAATTTCATTGTTATTTTTCAGTCGGACAATGAGGCAGATGATGACGCTGAGGATGATGTGCATGCTGGTGAAGAATATGACTTGGACAAGAAAGAAAAGCTGAGAGAACTTATCAGTCAAAAACTGAAGACAGAAAAAGGTGCAGAGAGAGCAACTGACCCTAGTGACGAAGAGCGAGGAAGAAAGAGCAGCCGCAGGTACCAGTTCATGTTTCGCACTAATTTTTGGTTTTATTTTCTGTGCTGCTCTATCAGGAGGCAGACTGTTTGTAGATGAGCCACCTGCTCATTACTTCGTCACCAAGTGCCGCAGCCTTTTGAGTTTGTTGTTTCACTTGTAATATAATGGGGAAGCCTAAAGGTGGGGCTTCTGGACTGTGGAATAGACACAGACTTCCACAGCAAGTGTGCATGTGTAAGTGTGTGTGCTGTCAGCACAATGCAGGCAGACTACTATATTAAACACAAGCACAGACTGTTTTGCTACAAGACCTGTAACCCAACACAGTGGTTTGTCTTGGCAGGGAATCAAAGAACAGGCTAGTAGGTACAGTGTTAGTCCAGGACAAAGGGGGCATTGTTGCAGGGAGGAGCGCTGCTCTCCCACTGTTGCTTTGCTTTGTTTAGGCTTTCAGCTGCTCTAAGAACAGGGAGGAACACTATTCTCTAGTCATCAGGAGAAAAAGAATAAAGGATGTGTAAAAGCAACTCTGCAGTTCCCTACAAGGAGGTAAGAACAAACAGGGTTAGGGTTAGCAAGGGTATCAATCGGTCTTTTGCAGACACGTGACTTATGCACTTCCGGTCGCCATATTGGGGGGTTACGCAGATACCGGTTCAGGTAAACAAAGTCCGTGGTAAACAGTGATAAGAACGATGACATCTGCAAAATGGAAAGTAAATATAAAAATGAGAAGAAGCCGTATAGAGATAAACTCAACGCTGAAGCCAGAGACCGTTATATGGCGAAGTTAACGTCAATTAACAACGTTGATCCATACGAGGTAGCAGCTAAGGCATGGACGTCCGAACCAGGGCTACTTCCACCAACAACAAATATGGACATTATTTGCTATCTTGTAAATGGTGTCAGTGCCTACACATTTGACGAATTTCGGAACTATAAGTCCTTGGAGGCTCATGGGCTGTTCACCAATGGTTGGGTGCAAGATTTATATTCATTTAAACCTGAAGGATGCACCAACACTGTGGTCACAGCAAAGGTAAAACACCCTAAACATAACATCTTAGTCATCTTAGTCAAAGTTATACACATGTTGTCACTTCACTGCTAGTTTAAAGACACAAGTTGGGTATGTGTGTATATACACACATATTAATTTATGTGAGTTTTGTGTGTCTGCATAAACATATACGTATATTACCTGTAATCCATACTTTAACTATAAATCCAAGCAAATACACATACATTTTCACAAATATGTGAGGTTAGAATAAGTGGAGGTTGTGTATCTCAGTCAGAACATGAATTTACATCTCAAAGCAACACATTAATCTTAATATATTGTATATGATGTTAGAACATTTTACTCTGAAGTCTGTATTACAAGTAATTTTTACTCTATTTTGTGTGTTTTTTTAGGTGATGCACTCCCAACGCTTGCGAGAAGCACCACTCAAGCCTTGGGCAATCCTAAATTCTTCTGGGGCTATATTGTGTGCTCATTGCACCTGTATAGCGGGCTTAGGAGAGTCATGCACACATGTCGCTGCTATGCTGTTTAAGTTGGAGGTAGTTGTCAGATGCAGAGAGACAGTGACAGTGACAGGCAGACCTGCATACTGGATGATTCCAGGCAATCTGCTTGCACCTGCACAGGAAGAGACATGGTTTTGTTCTTCATGCACCAGTAAGATGTGAGGCACATACTTTGCTTAATAAAGATGGCTTGAACAAATGAGAAGCTTTTGTAATTTTATTTTTATGCAAGATATATTTGATATGTTACATTTTTTTAACCTTTGTTCTGCATCACGACAGGTAACAATTAAGAACCACCAAAATTCAATATGTGGATGTAAATCTTATGACAACAGTTGAACATTTTGTATGTTTATTTCATTTCATTGTGTCATAAATCATTTACAGTAACTGTCACATTATTTAATTACAGTTGGGCAAAGATTTGTAAATGCACAACACACTGTAACCACTTTATCTAAAAGCGTTACATCCTCACACTCACATGGCAGTATCAGAGAGATTGGCATTGTACCTGACAAGATCTTATACTTTTGACATACATTTCCAATCACCCTTTCAACATGGATTCTCAGATGTGCTATTTTTCTAGTTTCCTCCACGTTTTTTGCATCTAGCTGACACATGCCTTTTGTAAAAGCAGGGAGTTTCACCTCAGCACACAACATCCCAACATGTTCTTGAATATCAAAACCTCTGTCAGCCAAAACAATGTCCCCTGGCAACAATTTATCAAGAAATCCACTATTAAGTGTGATATGCTTGTCACTTGTACGCCCCCCCCATCCTTTGGACAAAAAACAGATGGCTCCTCTGGGTGTAATTCCTATCAGGTACTTCATGGTGTGGTTGTGCTTATAACTTGAAAACATCTGGGCCCGGGCTTTGACATTAGATGGTCTCTCTGTAAAAATTTCAAAGCAAGTAACTCTGTTCACCTGCTGCCTCAGTTCTCCATTTTCTTCTCTGAGTCTATTTATTTCTGCCGACTTAAGGGCACATGCTTCACATTCAGGGATGACAGTCCCCTGTTCAGCAATCTGTTCAGATTCATCAGTCGGATCTGAAACGCATTCCAGCTGCACCTCAGCAAACAGATCAGCCTCCTCCAGGACATGATGGCCACAAACGTCTACATCCTGCTGCGCCACTAACTCAGCTTCCTGTGATGTGCTGTTACGTTGCTGGTCTCGTTTACGTCGTCTTGCATAGCGTGCTGCGTCAGTCGGTTTAACGTCAGTGTGACCCAGACGTAGAGATGGAGCCCAGTCCGCATCACTTTCCATCATCTCATAAGCTGGCTGACCTGCAATCACATAGAGATGACAGATGAATGACAGATGACAGCTGTGATATGTCAAGACAGATCTTAAATCCTGCTAGTTGTTCTGGCTTATTGCTATTTTAGCCCTGGTTTAGTTCAGACTTAGACAGTATTTTTAGTCTAAATCTGACTTAGCTCTGTTTTCAGACCTAGTTCATTATTCGTTTATTTAAGTACGTCTTGTATATAAATAGGATATAAATAAAGTACTTATAGATAACTGTAGCATCACAGAATAATAGAGAAACAAAGCATTAAATAAAAAATCAGCTTACCTTTATGAAAATGCAGTGAACAAACACGCATGTTTGCTGATATCTGATTGAATGTGATCTCCTTGCGCCTGACAGCTGCAACCCAGGCCAACCTGCGTCTCCTGCTTAGATCTTCCATTTGCTGTCCACGGTCTTTTCTATAGACGGGAAACCTGAAAAACTTTATGCCAAAGTGTCCTGTTTTACTCGAACAGCCTTTTATGCAACACCAACGAGCCATTTTTGAATTTAAAAGCACACTCGGCTTAAGGTGGAAAAAGAACTGAAGCTAACTCGGAAAAGCTACGCTGCTATCAGTACTGCTCACGACGGTAATCCCCCCAATATGGCGCCCAGCATAGGCGTGACGTCACGTGCAAAAGACCGATAAAATAAATTGAAAATCACACCAAGAAAACAACAGGTACAATAAAATAGACTAAAACAAACTTAAACAAGAATCAACACAGCCTCAGAATTCTGATGAGACAAACTGAACTCAGTTAAAATCCAAAACCAGATGAGAACTCTTCACAAATGCTTGGGGCTGTGGCTGAGTGGTTTGAGCAGTCGCCCTCCAATGGGCAAGTTGGGGGTTCAATTCCACCAGCAGTCACATGTTGAAGTGTCCCTGGACAAGACGCTGAACCCCTCATTGCTTCTGTTGTGTGTCCCATCAGTGTATGAATGTGATCTAAAGCACTGATTAGTCTCTTTAGAATGATTTGTTCAATTAGCTTTGTACAGATCTAGTAGAGAGCTGTATGAATGTGTGTGTGGAGGTAAATGAGGGCACGGATTGTGTTGTAAAGCACTTTGAAGGTCGTTATTAGATAGACGGGAACAATATGAGTACAGTCCAATTACCATTATTTTGAGTCAGTAAAAGCTCTGAAGTTGATAAAGTCAGCATTTTCTAAAAAATCAGACGTAAAGGTAATTTACAAAAAAGCAGAAGAAAAGACAAAGAACAATTTGATCAAGATTTTTCTTATTGATTATCAACTGCACATGTTTGAGCTTTGAGGGCAGCTGGAACCCAGCCTGATGACACGGAAGAGTTCAATAACAATACAAGGGCCAGTGATGTGAAGGGTTTCCTTTAAAGACGAGAGGGGGAGGATATCTAGAGGAGACTTAAAAGGTCTTAAATAAATAAAAAACATTAAAACTGAAAACAGTCAGGCTCAAGCAGCTGAAAAACAGTAGAGTGATTTAAAACTGGCTGATATTTTTTCATTCATTCAACTTTTATTTATACATGTTAATCTCATTGAGCCTCGGGGACTCATTTACAAGAGAGACCTGAATGAGAAAACCTCAAGGCAGATTTTTGTTTCAGCAGATTTTTTTTTTATTGTCCCAAAGTTTAAAAGAAGCCTCCATGGAAATGGTGTCACAGGTTTATAACAGAATTGAAAGATTAAAAAGATCACAGGGTTTGTGACTATTTACAGAGATTATTTTAGACAGAAAGACACAGCCCTCATGTTCAGATAAACAGTCCTGTAGGATTCCTTGAGACACCTGGAGATTGTCCTTTCCACATCTTTTCTCTGCACAGCGGCACTTGTGTCTTTGAGCTGAGGTGGTTTAATTTATGCAAGATAAAAGTCTGGCTGGCCAGGTTGTCTGGTGTTCAGTAGAGCCATCCCAAAGTGTGGTCAGTCCAGAAGACACAGGAGTGCGTCCAAGCAGATGAAGATTTCCAACATTCATGCTGCCCCTGTAGGACAGCGCCCAATGCAAGACACACGAGGACTCTACTGATAGGTCTGACGGACCGGCAAGTCCAACAGGCTGTATCCAGCAGTGACATCTGGATATGGACAGGTACCAAAAAGAAGACAAAACATCTGTGATAATGTAGCAATCAGTCATCCCAAAAGATTTAAGGAGAGCCCTTATGTGACCAGGATGCTTGACAAGCATTCACACAATCAAGAGAAGCAATAAAACAATGGTGTTGATGCTTAATAAGCAGGCATTTAATGAATCTTTCTGTAAGTAATCATTGGGTTGATAACTACAACTGATTTACTTTTTGGAGTCATCTCACTTCAAAATTTGTGGCCAATTCTAAAACTTATCTTTTTATAAAAAATAAAAAAAAAGGGAAAGATTAAGATTTTTCCAGCTGCAGTCCTTTATAAATAATATTTATCTGGTTTTAAAGCCCTTCACAGTACAGAAACTGCATGTTAAAACATTTTTATGATCTATTAGGAGCTGCAGTCTCAGAAGGCTCAGTTGTTCCTTTGCTTTTAAACCTGACAGCTTCCTTTGTCACAGCTGACCACAATATTCTGGTCTCCTGGCTGGAGCTCTGTGGTATCAGACTCATCAGACTGGTTCAGGTCTTACCTGTAAGTTCTCCCCAAGGATCTATTTTTGGACCCATTTTATTTTTTTAATGTATGTGCTTTCCCTAGGCTCCATCAACACCCAAAATTTCAGTTAGAATAAAAATAAGTTATGATATTTTTGGTCCCCATTGAAATCGTGGCACTTTTCCTAGAGACCAGGATGGTAGCATGTAGTGGTTTGTAAAACTTAACAAAAAACAAACAAACAAAAAAACAGTTGAAATTTGTTTAAAATTTTAACATTGAGAAATAATCTACAGCATAAGGTCTATAGTAGACATCCTTTTTTTAAAGAGGCTTTATCTTAAGTCAAGTTGTTTTATCCTTTAATGACTTTGGACGGGTCCAGGCTTCTCCACAATGATGATTGGATCTTTAATTATTCAAAAGGCCAGGTTGGTCCACATAAGGGATCAGGTCTTTAGTTGTCTAGAGGTGCAGGCTGGTCCATAGTGGGGATCAGGTTTTAATTTGTCCTGAGGTCTAAACTGGTCCACCGAGGTAAGTCAGATCTTTAGTTGTTCCGAAGTCCAGACTGGTTTACTGAGGTGATAGGATCTTTATACTTTCTGAGGTCCGGGTTGGTGCACAAAGATGATTGGATCTTTAGTTGTACTGAGGTCCAGGCCATCCACAGAGGTGATCAACTATTTTCTGTCCTTAGGTCCAGGCTGGTCCACAGTGGTGATCTGGTCTTTAGTTGTCCTGCGGTCCATGCTGGTCCACAGAGATGACTGGGTCTTTAGTTGGTCTGAATTCCAGGCTGCTCTACAGATGTGATCAGGTCTTTTGTTGTCCTGAGGTCTAGGTTGGTCCACAGAGATGATCAGGTTGTTCTGAGATCTAGGTTAGTCAACAGAGGTGAACAGGTCTTTCTTTGTCCAGAGGTTTAGGCTGCTAAACAGAGATTATTGTGTCTTTAGTTGTCCTGAGGTCCAGGCTGGTCTACAGTGGGGATCAGGTCTTTAGTTGTCCTGAGGACCAGGCTGGTCCACAGAGGTCATCATGTCTTTAGCTGTCCTGAGGACCAGGCTGGTCCACAGAGGTCATCATGTCTTTAGCTGTCCTGAGG